TGGAGTTTTTGAGCCTCAGTCAAATTATGAGGTATCCACCGGGCGCAAAGCTTCCTGACCGCTAAATGTTCGTGGAGGATTTTGTGCACTTGACTCATACCGATGCCTAAGCTTGTCCGAATCTGTTGATAGGTCACTCTTTTGTCAGTCTCTATCATACGCCGCACAACACAGATGTTATCTTCAGTCGTCGCCGTAGAAGGCCGTCCCTCACGTAAATCATCAGTGAGATTAGTGCGACCACGTTTAAACTCATTAAACCAGTTGTAAACAGTCGCACGAGATGGGGCTTCATCGTGAAAGGCCAATCGTAGTCTATCATAACTTTCTTGTTGACTTAAATGACATCGAAAGTCATAAAAAATCATTGCACGAAAATTTTCTCGTGTTAAATTCATGATGACGTGACACAGACAATTTTCAATTTGCCGCCAAATCGTAAAACAAATGACAAATGAATGAAATATATACTCAGTAATATTGGCAAAGAGTTATATTTTCAAATTTTAGAATTATTTTTTTATTATATTGTTTATAAGTGGCCAGTTCTAAGAACTTTCAGTTTGACCCTCGTATTCCGGGTAGCGGCTGATGGGCAGGGAGGAGGAGGGTTTGACCCCTTCGGGTGGGTCGTCGTTGGCTCTTTTCAGGGCCGTCGTGTGGGTGGTTGAAGTTTTGTCCCTGACTTTGTCGTTTGGGGTGGGCGTTGGGATTCTGTGTCCCTGACTTCGCTTCTCTTTTGGGGGTGGGTGAGTGTTGGGGTTCTGAGTCCCTGACTTTATGAGGATAGGTTCTGGGTCTGGTCGGGCTGGCATGGGCACGTGCCACGTACGGAGGGTGTGCCCCTCCAAGGAGGATCGCTCTGGAGCTTGCTTCAGATGCGGCCTTGAGGGGCACAAGGCGGCGTGTTGCCGCAAGGAGGCTAGTTGCGCTGTTTGCGCAGCGGCGTCTCTGCCGAGCGGATACGTGATGGGGAGCAAGAGATGCTCTCCACCTTCCGGACGGGCACGGTCGGTTCCCGTGCCCCGTGGTACTCGTGCGGTACCAGCTGAGGACGGCTGGAGTGGCTAGCAGCTGACTGGTTTCCCGGCAGGGTTACGTCTGCCGGGTGCGCCTGTGTCGCTGCTAGTGAAAAGGACATGGGGAGTCGACCTGCGTTTCGCAGGTAAGGGGATTTCCTCTGCAGCCCCAGTTTGGGTGCCCGGCTCGGCCGCCATATACACCGCTTTGGTGTGTGTGACGGCCGGACCGGGCGGTACCATTCCGGGGCCGCGCAGAGACGAGCGGCGGAGCCGGTTGATGAGGCCTGATAGCGCCCTTTTCAGGGTTATGGTCGGGCCGTACTCCGGTGGTAGCCGCGATCGTACCACGATAAAGGCTCTGCCTGTGTGGGTCCTCCCAATAGATGGGTAAGAGACTAGAGATTGCACAGTTGCGCATCTCTAGTCTCTAGTCTGGGGCAGCTAGCCGGTTCGCGCGCTGGTCGGCATTGCACGCCTCCGCCCTGTCTGGGGGGGCACGTCTCGAATGTCTCTGAGATATATCTCCCAACCCGCGAGGGACCTGTCCTTTTCAGGGCGAGCCGAAATGGGGGCGAACCGCGCGGTGTATGGGCTCCGGGCCGATCCCGTGCATCGCCTTCCATGCGAGGGACATCGCTGAGTTTTAGTGGGTAAACTTCTGTTGCTTGTCTAGCCCCTTCGGGGGTGGAGCCACAGGAGGAGTCCCACATAACCAGTGAAGCCCGCGCTGGGTGTAGCGGGTATGAGTAACGCATTACTCAGCGTCAAAAAAAAAAGGTATAGTTGTAGGTAAGAAGGTCTGCGAGGGGAGCCCTGTAGGCATTACCTTGTGGATGTCTTGATAGAACTTGTCCACACCGGGGGGATTAAATCAGGTTAAAACAAAATATCAATTTTCCGCCATTTATCCAATAAAATAAAGTTGAAAATCTATTAGACGAATTTGGGTTACCCAATCTGTTGTTGTCTGTACTTATTAGTACCTAATGACAAACTGTACTTTCGACGTTTTGTCTCTGCAACTTATAGAAAGTTCTCTTTGTTCGCTACTGAAGGCTCCCGATTCACTTTGACGTAACCATCATTAAGGGGATGATAGTCACTAATGATCTAGTAGAAGCGGATGGGTATTCATCTGCCTACATTATTCTTCAAATGACACCCGAGCGTTGAGTTACGGCCGATAAAAACTATTTGTCTTTTTGTAGGAGCTACATGGCGCAATGATTAGTGAGTTTGGTCTGTGATGTGGAGGTTAAGTAACTCGCAATGGTTTGTCATAGGAGGGGTGACCGAAAATTAATTATATTGAGATCCAACTCGAAATCCAACGGCGTCATACCCAGTTTTTGTTTATGACGAAGACCTCGAGTTTCACGTGAAGACAAGCTTTCTTCAGACAATACATTTTTTTCAAAAAAAAAACTCATAACAATAGTAAAATAAACTATTACATTATTTAATAATCCTACCAGGATTTCTTTTAGATGTGAAGAAGAAAGGAAAATAAGCAAGAAAGTCTTGATTAAATTTAAAAAGGGTAAGAAGAATTACAAAAAATCTTCAATATTTGCAAAAAAATATAAGAATAGGTAATTATAAAACATATGAATTTAAGAACACTGCCTAATCTTAACAAAGCAAAGCAAAAGTCGTATCAAAGATTTAACTTTGGTCTCATTATAATATAACATTTATCATTGTAATCCCTAAGACTGATTCCAATATTTTAATAACAGAATGCCTGCAGGCTCCTATTATACATTATCTATCTTCTATCATCAAATAGGCTCCGAAACTATTCGACCGATTTTATAGATTCTTTCATTTCTTCGTATGCGGTGAACGTAGGCTATATTTTATCCCGAGAAACAGCAAATAAAGGGTTGAAAATGAGAGTGGATTTTGTATGTGGAATTAAAACATCTAATAAAAATAAAAAATTGTCTTTGTAAATCTATCCATGTCATATTATGAATCGATATCCAAATAAACAGTTCCCTAGGGATCATGTTGGCGAAACTGCTGGTGGAAAGCTAGTTTAAAATAAAGCACCATTGGGCTATCCAACAATAGTCAGTATTCAAAGGTTTTAGATATGAAAAATCCACCATTGAATATTGTAACAACAAAAAAACATCCTCCTAATGGATATGAGCAAAAGCGCAAATAAAGAGGGATTCTGATTTTACAAAGGTATAAACCTCATAGGAGTGATTGTCATTTTTAATTAGTTACATATGATTTGTGTTTGTGACATTACTTAAGATTATGTTTATTACGAAAATGAGAAGACTAGGAAAAAAAATAGTATTTATACTTTGGAAGAAACCATCAATATTATTTTAAATATTCCAGAAACCCATTCCTATCAGTTGACTTCTACAATGGCTAATAGTGACAAATAGCGTAAAAATTCAAAGTAGCTTGCTTACACGCTCTATACAACATTTTAATAAGAGCAAATGATTTCATGGATTATATAGAACGCTCAAAATTTTACCGCCTTTCATACGATGTGTAAAATTCTCCCATAAATTATTCAAAACCCAAGTGGAGTCATCGTACAATGCTGAGCGCTGTTACTTGAGCCCGGAATATCCCGCAGTTTGTCACAAAGAAAACACTCATAAGCCGAAAATTCATCATATTTTAAATACGTAGCCAAACACTCTCAGAAGAGGCTCTCAGGCTCGATATCGTCAGATTTGAGCGTTTGCATTCTAATTTGTAATAGTTTTATATTTGCATTAGTGCTAATATATTACTATCGTCCAAATTTACCAGCAATCTAATAATGCACTAGTCACCTAATAAACTAAAGAATTATTTAAGTGCCGCTAAACAGACACACGCAAATACACATACAGACACGGCTTAAAGTAGCTCCAATTACGCATTACGAAATTATTGAACACAGGAAATATACCAATGTCACTGTAGTTCACAATCGTTAACGCTTCAGCCATAGCTCCAACTGTTCGACTTTAAGAATATTTCACGTACAGACTGCTGTAAATCATATTGCTTGCTCACTTGTTACACGAGGCTATTATCAATTTAAAACTTAAATAACAATAGAATTCTAGTATTTCTGCTTTAGATTTTATCTTGGTTTGATCTCTGACTGCATATTCCTTATCAGTTAGTTCTATAATTGAGAAATTTTGAATAGTTGTATAATAATGCAACTATTCAAAATTTACATAAATTTTCGACAATTTATTATAGAATTTAGTGTTATTTAAGGACTAGCTGGCTTAATGTCGCTCTCTGAATTTGGATATTTTATTGTGTGGGTACAAAATACTATAATTTATTTGTTTTAATGTTGCCTTATTTCATCTTATAGGGTATTAACAAAATATAAAATAAGTTTGTATTATGTAAAAATATTTTTTATTACGTAGTTGAGATTAAATTCTCTTCGCTAACATATCAAGTAACAGTAAAGGAATAAAATTGTATCGTTGCTAAACTGACATTGACATTTGTCATAAGAATTAAAATAACAACAACATTTGCTAGGACTTGTGTATTGATTATTATATATTTTAAGATTTTGTTTACTGTTTAGAATATTTCTAATTGTAAAAAGTTTTCATGGATCTTGGTAATTGCTTTTTTAATTACTTTGATTCGTTATTAATAGTAGATCAATAATAAACACTGTCAGGTTTCATAATAAAAGTAGGTCAAAAATATAACTGCCCAAGGCCAACGAGTGGCCTTCAAATAACTCTTTTAGAAGTTATCCTATCAACTAATGATTTCTTAATTTATTTTCTTGTAAAAGCACTGTTCTTATTCCATTACTTAATAAATATTTACGGTTTTTGTTGCCTTTCCGTTCAAGGATAAGCGTCAATAAAAGTTTATTTATGTTTTATTTTCAGACTTTATCCCGACTGCTGGTGGGATTAACGGGATCAACTTGGATAATTACTTCCCTATTCAGCGTTCATACAACTCTGTCGTATATTATCATAAGAAGTTTTTAAATGAAGAGAAAGGGAAAGATTGCCTAATAAAGACGAGAATGGAAAAGGAAACAAAATCAAAAACCAAAGATAATAAGAAGAAAATTTTAAAAGAGGATAAAACAAAACATGCTAAGCTTAATACACATGCAAACATTTTTGGGCATACTTTACAATTAACGAATAACATAGTACCGTTAGTTATTCCATCTTTCAAAGATATTTCCTCGCCTATAATTTATAACATCAAAACTTCCAGAAAACATAGAAGCCACGAGAAGAAACCTGACGTAGCTAGTATAAAAAAAGATTTAACATATAGCAAAGAGAAAAAACACAAATTTGAAACAGATAAAAAAAAGGAAAACAAACTAAATCATGAAAGCAACAGTCCTAGAGAATCGTTAGATCTAACATCACAAAACACGTTGGATGATTTTAACTTGAATATTAATCAATCTTGTTCTTTTTCTGAATCAACTGATATTAAATATAGAAAAGAGAATAGTAAACATAAAAGCAACAAGGGCAATGCTCAAAAATATTTTGTATCTAGTTCATTTGATGCTTTGGCCACGGAATCAATGAGCGATGAAAGCATTAAAAAGGTTAAAATACATTTAATGAATGAATCTGATAAAGTAATATTTAGTGAGTCCATAAAAAATCCTATTATAAACGCGATAAAAGATTGCTTATCGCAGTTGACCAATAATTATGATGTCAACGTTATTATTACTGAACTAAAAACTGCTCAGAAAATTATTAAGTATAATAGTCAGAAATTAGATGAAGTTTTGATGAAATTAGCATGTTTGGAAAAGAAAATTACTACGCATCCTGAACATACTGCAAAAACTAATAAATCTCCAAGGATTCGGTCCGCACACAAAGCTTCTAAGTTAGAAGAGTTAAGCGAAGATCTTATAGAAGTAAAAGATGAACTCTCGGAAGAAGATTATAGTGAAACATACAATGTGCCTAAAAGAAGATTAAGATACAATGGTAAAAGCGTAGTCGTTGCGATTAATGAAAATATTGAGACCAAGGAAGAAAAGAAGAAGGAGACTTTGGGATGGGGTGAAAAAGTACCAGAAGGAGGAGATCTGAACGCCTCTTCCTCTGTTAGTCATCAGGCTGTACAACCTGATCGTCCAAATCGAATACCAGCAAGGTTTTGTTGGACAGACGCGGATAGAATGAAATGAATTCATGGTGTGGTTTACGTTTAAATAAAATGTTAGTTATATTTATAGTTTTGTAACATATTTCAATGTCTTTAAATAATAATTTAAAGTATTATAGGGATCCTAATATTATACATTGTTTCATTTAACAAAACATAGCACATAATACAGACAAATATAAAATAACAGGTAACGTTACCAATAAACTTTCCACAGTTTTGAGGTCACAAGAGTAGATTTTCAATCTGAAATTGAAAGATTCCTATCTCACCGTTACAACACGTATCTAATTCAAATAAAAGAAATTCACGAAATCAAATATTTCAATTGCTGCTGTATTCAATCTTAAAATGATATTAGAATTTGAATCGAATTAAAATTTTATATCAATATATATTACTAACTATATATTAGGAGCAACAAGGAAAAAAATGGTCCCTTCACTGTTTACATTAATTTATAGCTAATACTAATCAATGTAAAATTATATAACAGTTTGTGTTCAAAGTCATGACATGACTAACATTTCATTGACTATCAAAATTAAAATTGGTAAAAAACTCCTAGAACTTTATCGCATTTCGTGAATTCACTAGGTTTTCGAAAGTTTGCCACTCGCCCGTTGCCTTTAGGGATTGCATGCTATGCTCATATAAATCATTGCCCCTCAATATTGTTATTCCGACCCAGTTCTGGCATCCCTGACATGTATTGATCACAAGCCTGGACTCATAATGGACCTGAGGGTGCAATTATTTAGAGAATTCTACGGGTCTAGTTATTGGCGAAAGAGAATAATTGGACAGTTGTTTATATGAAGTTATTTGTAATAGTTTATTAATAAATGTAGAAATAATACAGGTTATCAGTCAATTGGCAATATATATTGTATTAGTAAAGAAAATACCTTGATTTCAAATTATCTCTACTATATTACAGGAACAATAAGTTTTCAAAATTTAAAACAAACATAATAATGAGAACTAAATCAACATTTTACATAAAATAAATTATGAAAATTTAAATAATGAAATCACCGGATACGCAAACTATGCTATTTGATTAGATAATGCTATATTTACTCCAGTGAGTATTGTTATCGTATAATCATCCTTATTATAGATATAATAATAGTTATGATAAAAAAACATATCTAATATCGAGCTACTACATAATATCATAATAAGGTTCATTTATTATTTATGTATGTACTTTGCAACTGTATGGAACTTCCATGTTTATGGATTCTTTTTGCATAACCATATAAATTTTCCTGCGCAAATAGTACCAGCGATCAGACTTAACTACAATTTTTATAAACCTTCGGTCAAAAATCTGCTAGTTTTAAGTTCGTATTCATATCGTTTCGATAGAACATGTGATCTGAAAGTGAAGTATACAAGAGCTAGTATTCATTTTCAATGATCACGACTCATTGATTATTTTACTTTTGGTGTCACTAAAATAATATTTTTTTATTGCTAAAGTGGGAATGTGTCTGGCGTCCCTCTTGTTGCACCCTTGATCCTGCTTTTCACACGAAGATACTCCGCAGTAGGTTTAATGTGGTGAGCAAACCACGCCTTAACCTGAAGGCAGATCCTAGTGGTTTGAGAGGCCTGATTTGAGGTATTTAGCTAACGCCAAAGTAATACCTCTGCCCTGCGTTAACAAAAACGGTTCTAATGGTATTTAGGTTAAAATCAGTGTCATAATTAGATGTCTTCTTGATATTCATAACCTCCGACCCGCGGCTTCTAAAGTATTTAATCTTAACGTGAACCGTCACTGTTCGTTCTCGTCACATAACATTAACTTCTTTGTTCAAAGTTTTAATTATCTTCGCTACCTCCACTTCCCCTAATGCTGTCGCTCTTGATTCATTATAATTCCTCAATTTTTGGAGCTATAAATGCTGACGGGGCTGATTTCGCTGGAGTTTCGTGGCCGTTATGCGTCATGATAAATTATTTTAACATAATATTGCTGGGATAGTAGGATTTTTAACGCCCATGTATAATAGTGTTTGATAGTTTTTATTTTAAATGTAATAAGTAATGTAAAATGTAAAAATCAATGCTTTTAACAGTTTGAAAATTGTATAATTTTTCAAATGAAGACATGTCTGAACATTGGAAGAATGGTGTAATCCATGTCGTTATAGAAACTCCGTCATAGCTAGTCGTAGGTAAATGCTTTACAGTTCCAAGTGCAAGTCATTTCCCTGCAGCGCCATTAGTTCCCCCACGGAGGAGGGGAGTGTTAATTTCATATCCCACTATCAGAACTTCATCATAGGAGGATAAATACATTAACTAATATGATACCTATTTCTATTATTACTCATCGTCAAAGGTGCTAGTATTTTTTATTTTTAGATTACTCATGAACCTTGTCTAAAATATATTAACTATTAGTTCGATGGCGCAGTGGTTATGGACAAGGTTAGCCATAGGATGGGTGACCAAAAAATATGGTATAAAACTTTTATATCCTTCGAAAGTTACGTTAGGCTGTTATTCCCGAATGCATCTGCAGTCATTCACTCACCAAACTGCATTAGGCCACTTGTAGAATATAACTCGTTTTTCTATAGAGAGGATCTGTGTCCCTGCTGTCAGAAATCAATAGGCTGATGATGATGACAGTTTTGATATAATCAATTTAGTTAATTTGGTCCTCAATAATTATATTACAAACCATGTCTACAATCAGAATCATTACATTACCTGCCTGGAAGGCCAGAGCCTTCCCTATGGACGGAATAGAATCGAATAGGGATAATGGGCCATGACCTACTACGCGGGCCCAGTACGGATTGGCAACTGCAGATGCAGGCGGGACCAACTGCTTAACGTGTCACCCGAAGGAGGAGGAGTTCAAGATAGTAAATTTTCGGTCACCCATCCTATGACTGGCTATTGAGAAAGTTGCTTACCCGCAAACCGATCACGATAGCCATCACGCCATCGAGCTTAAAAATCCTCAAAAATCAGAATTAGCTTTTCTATTGTGTAATAAAAACAACTTAGAGTTCGTCATCGAACTTAGGCTCTGTCACAACATAGAGGTTTAATCAAATAAGACCTTCATTACCATTTAAAATAGATCTTTTTTGGTTGAACCTCTATACTATTACAGCGCTTGACGTCAAGTTCGAGACTGTTTTTATAACAAAATAGCACTGCAAAGTCGGCGAGTACATATGACAAGTGTGTATAATCTAATTCAATAAAATTATGGAGATAATTATGCTTATTTTTGAATAGGTACTAACTACTATATTTCTAATATATATACATATATATTTTTTAAGCAACCGTAGTCTTAAAAATTAATCTTATAATGGAAGGAGGAAATCCTGTAATATTTTATATTAAATAATATTATAGCATGTTGACCGCCTGTTATGAACTTTATGAAAAAAAAAATATATGAGAATTATGAAATGCAAATATGGCAAGTGAGATTGTGTAATTCACGTGTAAGGGTTATTATTAAATTTAATATTACCGATAATCTTTATAATTCAGTTATTCTGTACAATATCTACACAATGTGTAGAATACCAGGAATTTCCAAGTAATGTATGAAATGATGTGAATATTATTTTTCATTACATTCTTTGCCTAGTATAACAAATCATGTCATGATTATGTGGAGCCAATGAATTGTTCTACTTTGATGTGTAACATATTTACTAGCATTGATAAATGCAAGCCAAACATATTGAGATTTATCTACTATGTTATTTGTTGCGAAATTCCGTTCATGCATAATAAAAATAGATAATCCTTATAAAATAAATATTTTATGAGGATGCATTTTTTTTTGTTTTGAACGCTATACGTTGTTGATTAAAAAGTAGTTTTTTTATTTCTGTAGGTTATGTGATAGGTTAGATTTTTTTTAGATCACAAATCACATAAGCAGTATGAATAGATATGCTGCTGACCGGTGATATATAGGTACTTTATAATACAGCAAACCTAGGCAAAGGATAAAATGAATAATATTTTATAAAGTACCTAACCTTTTCAGATATTTCATATATTACCTAGGTATTACAGAGAATACCGAATTATACTGATTATCATTAACATAGATACATAAGTGCAATAATGTATTATTTATTCAGACTTATAAATATATTTTAAATCTACGATATGTTTAGGAAAGCATTTTTTAAGCGGACGTTACTGTTTATATGCTATACTATAAGCGAACTTGCATCAAGCTTAAAGTATTTAAAAAAATATATAGAAAATAGTGAAAAGTGCTATGTAGTAGGCAATCACTCACCAAGGTTTGAGCGGCAGTCTGGTGCTGTAAAAACAGGCTTCAGTCAGTTTCAAGCCAGTAAAGTAAGACAGAGTAAAGGCCAGTTTACATTTTAACAGTTGAAAAAGAAAACATAAATCGACATAATTTATCTAGCCTATGATTACAAGCAAAGAGGAAAGATTTTTATGTATAAACTATATAAACGACGGAAGGTGGAAATCTTGCTAATACTTTCATAAAATACAAAAACAGGAGTATCTTTTACAAAATGTTTAATGTGACAGATAAATTTTATCGGCCTCCGTTGTTATTTAAAAAATGTCAAAATTCAAAGAAAAATAAATTAACAACGGAGGCGGCATACGTTGCTGTCATCTACACGCCCCACCCCAGTGCTGGCTTACCAGCACTCATCATCCAACAGTACCGGGGCGACACGTGCAGCTGACCGCCTGAGTATATTTCCTGAAGTAGTGCGTACGTCGACCATTCTTACACGACCATCCTTACCCGGGAATACCGATTGAACCATGCCTTTTGGCCAAACGTTTCTAGGAGAACTAGGATCTATAATAAAAACTATATCACCACGTCGTATCGGCTTCGTTTCCCGGTTCCACTTTTGTCTTGGCAGCAAGGTAGGTAACACCTCCCTTATCCATCGACGCCAAAACATGTCTGCTAATTGTTGCGAAATACGCCACTGTTTGCGCAGACACATATCTGACTCATTAAAC